ATAGAGCTTACTTAAAAAAAAAACCGTATCAAAAAAATAAATTGGGCACCTGAGTGGCTCAGTCGGTTAAGCATCTGCATTTGGCTCAGGTCATGATCTCAGGGTCCGGGGATCGAGCCCCTTGTTGGGCTCCCTGCTCAGCAGGGAGTCTGCTTCTTACTCTCACTCATGCTCGTTCTCTCAAATAAATTGTTTAAAAAAATTTAAGAAAAAATCTCTCAGCTTCTCTATCTATAGGTGAGGGGTGAACTTTTTTTTTTTTTTAAGAGAGTGTGGGTGCGAGTGGGAGTTGGGGGAGTAGAGGGAGAGGGAAAGAGAGAATCTTAAGTAGGCTCCACGCCCAGGGAAAGCCAGACACAGGGCTCAATTTCACGACCCTGAGATCATGACCTGAGCCGAAATCAAGTCAGACGCTTAACTGACTGAGCCACCCAGGCGCCTCAGGGATGAACTCTTAATAGCTAAGGCACTTCCAGCATCATATACAATTAGTGCTACACAAACATTTTCAGCCTCTCTATAATGCGATAGACTGTCGCCTTTTTAGTTACACAATCTCTTACTAAAACATCTCTCTGATCAAGGTGATACAAAGCACTGATGGTTTAAAAAGTTCCCTGTGTTCTTCTGTTACACTATAGAGGAAATCACCAGTGTGTAAACTTTACTTGTCCTGATTCAAATAACTTGCAAAATATATGAGTAAAATATTCAGAGATGAAATTATCTGATGTCTGGGATAGTATAAAAAGTGGAAGTAAGGGGCGCCTGGGTGGCTCAGTCGTTGAGCGTCTGCCTTCGGCTCAGGTCATGATCCCAGGGTCCTGGGATCAAGCCCCGCATCAGGCTCCCTGCTCCGCGGGAAGCCTGCTTCTCCCTCTCCCACTCCCCCTGCTTGTGTTCCCTCTCTCGCTGTGTCCTCTCTCTGTCAAATAAATAAAATCTTTTAAAAATAAATAAATAAATAAATATATATAAATGAATGAATGAATGAATGAATGAATAAATAAATAAATATCTGTGAAGCAACTCCACCCATTGACCTGGCCGTCCACATACAGATGAAAGCAGACAGCAGAGAATGGTAGCTATATAGCACAGTGTTCAGTTTTTAAGTGAAATTTATGCCAAAACAATTTTATAATTTCCAATCACAACCACCACCGTAAAAGCTGATTCAGGCAAAAATTACCAATAGATCTAAAACCACTGTTAGGGAAGAATATTCCAGAATAAGATATTCGCACAGTCTCAAAGATATACACAGGATACTTATGGGGTTACAAAGGGAAAAGGTAGAGGCAATCTGGTAAGCCCACCTTAACTTAGGTATCCAATTTAACATCACCAACGATGGGACAAGTCACATCAATGCCTTGTGATGCTGTGTCTTCTCTGTAGCATTCCCTGTCAAAAATATTGAATCTGGGGCGCCTGGGTGGCTCAGTTGGTTGGGCGACTGCCTTCGGCTCAGGTCACGATCCTGGAGTCCCAGGATCGAGTCCCGCATCGGGTTCCCTGCTCGGCAGGGAGTCTGCTTCTCCCTCTGACCCTCCCCCCTCTCATGTGTTCTCTCTTCGTCTCTCATTCTTGCTCTCTCAAATAAATAAATAAAATCTTAAAAAAAAAAAAAATTGAATCTGAATCTAATCATGTGAAAATAAGACCAGTCCAAATTGAGGGACACTGAGCAAAATAATTGGCCTAGATTCCTCAAGAATGCTGTATCTAGGTAGGTTAAGGAAACATGAAAACTAGGGGCGCCTGGGTGGCTCAGTCATTAAGCGTCTGCCTTTGGCTCAGGTCATGATCCCATGATCACGATCCTCCTGGGATCGAGCCCCACATCGGGCTCCCTGCTCCACCGGAAGCCTGCTTCTCCCTCTCCCGCTCCCCCTGCTTGTGTTCCCTCTCCCGCTGTGTCTCTGTCAAATAAATAAATAAAATCCTAAAAAAAAAAAAAGGAAACATGAAAACTAAATACAATGCAAGATCCTTGAAAGGATTTTAGGAGGAAAAAGTCCAGCTCTAGGAGACATTACTGAGGCAACTGTGGAAATCTGAAGGACTATAATCATTCCAAATAGTACTGTATTAAAATTAATTATCTAAATTTGATAATTACATTGTGGTCATGTAAAATAATGCTCTTGTTTTAGAGGATGAAACTGATGTATTTATGGGATTAAACTGAATTATGGGATTCATCTGGATGTTTGCAACTAACTCTCAAATGATTCACTAAAGAAAGAAAAAATATATGGAGAGTGGTGAAAGGAACATGGCAGAATGTTACCAATAGGTAAATTTAGGTCAAGAATAAATAAGTGTTGGGGCGCCTGGGTGGCTCAGTCGGTTAAGCGGCTGCCTTCGGCTCAGGTCATGATCCTGGGGTCCTGGGATCAAGCCCCACGTCCAGCTCCCTGCTCAGTGGAGAGGCTGCTTCTCCCTCTCCCTCTGCCTGCCACTCTGCCTACTTGTGCTCTCTATCTCTGTCAAACAAATAAACAAAATCTTTAAAAAAAAATAATAAGTGTTCATTGTTTTTTCTTAAAACTATTTTGGGACTAAAAATTTTTAAAAGAGCTGGGGCAAAAAGTCCATCTTTGTTTTAAAGTTCTATACATGAAAAAAAAAAAAATAAAGTTCTATACATGACCCAGGGGGACCTGGCTGGCTCAGTCAGAAGAGCATGTAACTCTTTTTTTTAAGATTTTACTTATTTGTCAGAGAGAGAGAAAGGGTGAGTGAACACAAGCAGGGGGAGCGGCAGAGGGAGAAGCAGGGTCCCCGCTGAGCAAGGAGTCCAATGAGGGATTCAACCCCAGGACCCCAGGACCATGACCTGAGCCAAAGGCAGACGCTCAACAACTGAGCCACCCAGGCATCCCGAGCATGTAACTCTTGATCTTGGGGTCGTAAATTCGAGTCCTGCTTTGGGTGTAGAGATTCCATAAATAAACAAACAAACGTAAAAAAAAATTTCTATACATGATCCAGAATGGAATCCACTATAGTTACAATCACCAAATATTTACAAAGAAACCGAAAGAAGCAAAAGGCAAATAAATGTCTAATTTCAAGTATTAATGATAACTTGTTAGTCCACATTCCCCTCAAAATACATTTTTTTTTTAAGATTCCATTTATTTATTCAGAGAGAGAGAGAAAGCACAAGCAGGGGGAGGGGGACAGAGGGAGGGGGAGAACTTCAAATCAGACTCCACAATGAGCAGGGAGCCCAACGTGGAACTCAATCCATGACCCCAAGACCATGACCTGAGCAGAAATCAAGCATCAGATGCTCAACCAACTGAGCCACCCAGGTACCCCTCCCTCAAAATACAGTAAGTTCACAGCAGGAAATCCTCTCCTAGATGGAGAATTTAAGTTTAAAAAAAGTTTTAATAGATGTAGTATGTAATCAGAAACAAATGGGAGATATAATTTGGTGTTATAGGAAGTATAGGGGCTCCTGGGTGGCAGAGTTGGTTAAGCGTCTGCCTTCGGCTCAGGTCATGATCTTGGGGTCCTGGGATGGAGCCCCACATCGGGCTCCCTGCTCAGAAAGGAGTCTGCTTCTCCCTCTGCCCCTTCCCCCCATGCTCACTCTCTCTCAAATAATCTTAAAAAAAAGTAGAGAGGAAAAAGGTACACAGTCTATATGTAGTGAACACAGATGGATTTACTTTCCAGAAAGATTACTGCAAACCCTCAGAATTATTACTCTACAGCTGGACAGATAAGATCCATTATTCAGTAACTTTATTCAATAACCATTTACTGAACACTAATTATGTGCCAGTGGTTCTATTGTTTAGTGTGCAGAAAGGGTAAGAAACAATCCTTGGCTTGAAGGACTCAGCCTATAAGAGTCTACTGTCAACTATACCTCAATTAAAAACGTTTTCTATATGTCCTTATAAAATCCTCATTTTTAAATTTAGTGACTCAGACTGTAGGCAACCTAATTTTGTACTTATATTGAGCATCAGCAATGTTTCCATAATATTTACAAATTATTAAACTTCATAATAAAGACTGTAAAAGAACCAGTACTATTTATTTACAAGGACATATACAGAAACTCTACTATGAAAACTTGCATTTTTTATTTCTGCTGAGTACTGCAACACTTTAAATTGAGCAAGAAGTCCTATTATATAAAGTGAGCATGACAGTTAATATATGGGGTTACATTGTGATTCTTTTCTCTCAGGATTAAAGAGAGATTAAGCAGACTGAGGAAAAGAAGCTGTCTGTTAATTGCCAGAGTTGTAACTAAAGTTTACAGAGAGTGCCTGAACTAAAATGAAGGCTTTCTCTAATGCAAATTACATTAAGCAATTGGGATTCTGTAATTCTGGGCTCTACAATCACATTTGAACTTATATTTCTGCACTAGAATTTAGAGGAATTTTTGTTTTTAACATATTTTAACCCTTCAAGTTAAAACAGGTTTCAAAATTATTTACTCAACAGAGACTTGCACAGCTCAGAAATGTTTCAAGTTATTTACAGGATCATCACCTGAAAGAATGATTTCATTTTTAACAAAGATATATTTGAGTTTATTTTCAAGAAACAAAACACCCATTTCATCTACGTAAAATCCCTCATTTGTTCTAAATCCAAAGAGTTAAAATGGGAAATTTTATGGTCAATCAACCTATAAAACTATTTTCAGAAGAGACTTTTTTACTATTTAGTAATACAAAAGCCTAAGTTACCAACTAATTATGAAGATAGTCTCAGAGATACTAAATAGAAAGAAGTATTGTTTGACTCCTGAGCATGTAAAGAAGGTAAGTGGAAGTAGGTAAAGGACAGAAGGTGGCAGAACAGAACCAATATGCCTGCACAAAGACCCTTCCCCACCCTGCTTATAGAATTCACCTCCTTTGTCACTTGGGAGCACAGATATGCTGGGACAGCTTTTGACTCTGATAAAACTACATTCTTCTTAGAATCACCGTTTCAATGGTGATTTTTTTTTTAACTAAATGAAGAACTAATCAAAACACACAGTAAGAAATTAGATTTTTATCAATACACAAATAAGTTTACTTAAAATCAGCTCAGTTACATATTTAAAAAAAGTTTCAGAACCTCTCCCCACCACTGTCCATAAACTAAAATAGGTTCACATGAAACCTACAGTCCAACCTAGGCGCATCAGTAAGTGATGGTCCAGGTACTAGCTGTCACATTTCTCTTGTCACTGAGAGACAGTCACAAACAAAACACATCTCTTGTCTGGATGAGTAGAATTCACATGAAAGAGCTTCATAAAATGTCTATGAAGGAGAACTGGTAATATCAGAAGAGTTCCAGCACTTCAATTGAATATAATTCTCTATTGTTCTTTTCTTGACTTAGTTTCTGCAGCTCACGAAAACTTACTTCAATCTTGTTGAGCTCGGAACAAATGCATATCTAAAGAAAAAAGTTTCAGAGTAACTTTTACCATAACTTCTACAAGAACAAATCCTCCATGACTATCTATAACTATTCCAAGATAAAAATTTAAGAATAAATTAAAATTTAAGTGATACCTGGATACCAACAAAACTCAGTATACATCAAATAATCACAAACCTGGGATTTCACAAACTTGTAAAGACTCAACAGTAGCCTTTTTGCTTCTGGTATCATTACCACAACAGTAAAGTTAGCATCCAGAAGTAGACATATCCAATCCATAATCTGAAGACAAACAGGAAAAGGAAAGTTAAGATTTTATTTATTTATTTTTAAAGATTTTACTTATTTATTTGACAGAGAGAGACAAAGCGAGAGAGGGAACACAAGCAGGGGGAGTGGGAGAGGGAGAAGCAGGCTTCCCGCTGAGCAGGGAGCCTGATGTGGGGCTCGATCCCAGGACCCTGGGATCACGACCTGAGCCGAAGGCAGACGCTTAACGACTGAGCCACCCAGGCGCCGAAGTTAAGATTTTAAATTTAATTTTAGGTTAATTCATTTTACAAAGTCCAGAATTACATCCGTTATAAAAATTAGTCTTGTTTACAAAAATCTAAACATTTAAGTTTAGAAATGGAGTAATTTCTAACCAATATAAAAAACACTCTTTTTGGATTTACACTTGCTATTTCACAAGCATAACTGAATCTTTTTCATAGCATTAATCAGTAAAAAGAAAGCCAGAGTGATATTTAATCCAAGAAGAATGAGTACTTTTTATTAAAATTTTTTTTTTTTAAACTGGGGCTCTTGGCTGACTCAGTTGGTGGAGCATGAGAATCTTGATCTCAGGGTTGTGGGTTCAAGCCCCATGTTGGGTGTAGAGATTACTTAAAAATAAAATCTAAAAAAAAAAAAAATTGGCAGTTAACAAAAAAACAACCCACTCATCTCCTATTCTGAAATATACACTATGCCCCCAAAATAGGGTGTTGTGTATTAAAGATGAACAACCATGAACTAAAATACATTACATTATTAAATACATTTATTAAAGTATTTTACACAGTTCTACATCTTCAGATGATGTAGTTAACATGCAAATTATCATTTGTCATGAAAAAGCATTAAGGAAACTGATTATCCATCTGGGTGGAGAGGGGAAGGCTGATCCCTACGAAACTCCTTACACCAAAATAAATTTTATATATATCAAGGAATTAAACACAGAAAAGGACACCATGAATGTACCAGGGAAAGAAAGGGTAGTTATTTTTATTTTTATATTCTCAGAGTAGGAACAGCCTTAAGGATGACATAACTGTAACGAAGCCAAGAAGGAAAAGCTTAATAATTTAAAGAATTTAAAATTTAAAGGGGCGCCTGGGTGGCTCAGTCAGTTAAGTGTCTGTCTTCAGCTCAGGTCACGATCTCAGAGTCCTGGGATTGAAGCCCATGTCCGGCTCCCTGCTCAGCAGGGAGTCTGTTTCCTCCCTCTCCCTCTGCCCTACCCCCCCCCATGCTTTCTCTCTAAATAAAAAGATCTTTTAAAAAAATAATTAAGGGGCACCTGGGTGGCTCAGTCATTAAGCGTCTGCCTTCGGATCAGGTCATGAGCCCAGGGTTCTGGGTTCGAGCCCCACATCGGGCTCCCTGCTCAGCAGGAAGCCTGCTTCTCCCTCTCCCGCTCTCCCTGCTTGTGTTCCTGCTCTCGCTATCTCTCTCCGTCAAATAAATAAATAAAATCTTACAAAAAAAATTTAAATTTAAAAATGAAATTAAAAATTAAAAACTTACCTATGGCAAAAATTACACTGAAAAAAGTAAAAAGTGATAGGAAAAAAGTACTTATAGTACACTCCACAAAAAAGGCTAACTTCTTTGGGGCGCCTGGGTGGCTCAGTCATTATGTGTCTGCCTTCAGCTCAGGTCATGATCCCAGGGTCCTGGGATCGAGCCCCACATCGGGCTCCCTGCTCCATGGGAGACCTGCTTCTCCCTCTCCCACTCCCCCTGCTTGTGCTCCCTCTCTCGCTGTGTCTCTCTGTCAAATAAAATCTTAAAAAAAAAAAAAGGCTAACTTCCTAATACAAAGAGAATTCTTTATTAGCCAAAATTAAAAAGACAGAAAATGCTATTGAAAAATGGACAAAGAACCTAACATGGCAATTCAAGAACAGGCTATAAATAGGCTAGAAAAGATGGTCACAACCCTTCGGAAAGGTACTGGCATTTTCAAAACTAAAATTGTGGGACACCTGGCTGGCTCAGTCAGAAGAGCAGACTCTTGATCTCCGGGTTGTATGTTCAAAAGCCCCATGTTGGGTGTAGAGATTACTTAGTAAGAAGAAAAAAAGACAAGGGGGAGGTTGATCATTAAAAAAAAATTTATTTTTAACTAAAAATGTATGTATCCTTTATTCAGTAATTTCACTTGTGGGAATTTACTCCACAGGTGTTTTCTCATAATTACACAGGAATATCCGTATAAAGATGCTCACTGAAGGTTTAAAATAGTAAAAAAACTGTAAAAAACTTAAATGCCAATCAACAGGGGACTGATAAATTAAAAACTCTCCACAAAATGAAACAGTATGCGTGGTTAAAAAAAATGAGGCAGGTAGTGCCTGGCTGCCTCAGCTGGAAGAGTGTGCAACTCTTGATCTGAGTCGTGAGTTCTAGCCCCACACTGGGTGTAGAGATTACTTAAAAAAAAAAAAAAAAAAGAAGAAGAAGAATGCAGATGTATGTTAACTGCTCTACAAAATGTCCAAAACACAGTACAGAATGAAAAGAATGAGGTTCAAATAGCATGCATACTATGATCTAATTTGTGTTAGAAAGACAACAGGAAGATAAATTAGGGTATAGAAAGAAAATTTCCATGGAGGGGAGGGTGATGGAGGGATGAGGTAACTGGGTGTGTGCTGGGGAGAGTATGTGTTGCAATGAGCACTGGGTATTATACAAGACTGATGAATCACAGACCTGTATCCCTGAAACAAGTAATACATTATATGTTAATTGAATTTAAATTAAAAAACTAAATTTAATTTAAAAAAAAAGAAAAAAGAAAGAAAATTTCCAGACAAAAAGAAACTTTTTCTTTTAAAGGTTTTATTTCAAAATAAATAACTAAGTAAAGGTTTTTTTAAGTAATCCCTGTACCCAACATGTGGCTCGAACTCACAACCCCAAGATCTGAGAGTAGTATGTTCCACAGAATAAGCCACCCAGGCATCCCAAAAGAAACTTTTTTTTTTTAAAGATTTTATTTATTTGAGAGAGAGAACGAGCTAGAGAGAGATAAAGCGCATGAGTGGGGGGGAGGGGGAGAGGGGCGGAGGGAGAGGGAGAAGCAGACTCCCCACTGAGCAGGGATCCTGCCATCAGTCTTGATCCCAGGACCCTGTGATTATGACCTGAGCCAAAGGCAGACACTTATCCTACTAAGCCACTCACACCCCCTAAAAGAAACTCTTAACGTTGGTTATCCCTAAGAGGCACTATACGAGTGGAGATGCAACCTTTGGTATTGTTGGAATTTTTTACTACGAAAGTTAACTACTTAACAAAATTTTAAGTAGTCAAATTAAGGGTTTCAAACACTTAATTAGGGTAACATATCCTTAGACCACAATAAACTTTTTAAAAAAATTTTTTAAGTAATCTCTACATCCAACGTGGGGCTCGAACTGACAACCCCAAGATCAAAGATCACATGCTCTCCTGACAGCCAGCCAGCCAGCCAGGTCCTCCTAACCACAATAAACTTTTTTTTTTTTTTTAAAGATTTTATTTATTTATTTGACAGAGAGACACAGCGAGAGAGGGAACACAAGCAGGGGGAGTGGGAGAGGGAGAAGCAGGCTTCCCGCCGAGCAGGGAGCCCAATGCGGGGCTCGATCCCAGGACCCTGGGATCATGACCTGAGCCAAAGGCAGACGCTTAACGACTGAGCCACCCAGGCGCCCCCACAATAAACTTTTTAATGTTTTAAGCTGCTTCTCAAATAAATACTATATTTAAAGAGTGCCAAGAAATTCTTTGAAAACATTTTTATTAATCTTTATTCTCTTAAGAGATTAGGACACTTATTATCACCCTCTCCCAAAGAAGCTAAGAAAATTCTTGAAAAGGGTCACAATAAAGAAACAAGAATTTTTTTTTAAAGATTTATTTAGAGAGAGAACGTGTGCGACACTCATGCATGAGTTGGGGGAAGAGGAGAGGAAGAGAAAGAGAATCTCAAGCAGACTCTGTGCTGAGTGCAGAGCCTGATGGGGGGCTTGATCTCACAACCCTGAGATCATGACCTGAGCTGAAACGCTTAACCAACTGAGCCACCCAGGCGTCCCAAAGAATCAGGAATTTAAGATGTATTTAAGTTCTTCAGTATAGAATATGGCTCTAAAACTCTATCTAACAAATTGAGAGATCCTCCCCACCTCTCACTCCAATGGTTTGTATATATGGTGAGGGAGAAGGTTCATATGAACCAGAAGACAAAGAGAAATCAGCAACTGAATTCCAAGTTCTGACATTATATATAACGTTCTTTTTCTTTTTTTTTACAGTTTTCCCAGTACCAGGTCAAATTAAAAAGATTATCTCACACCTATGTTTATTGCAGCATTATTTACAATAGTCAAATTATAAAAGCACCCCAAGTGTCCATCGACAGATAAATGGATAGAGGTGGTACATATATACAGAATTACTCGGTCATTAAAAAGAATGAAATCTTACCATTTGCAATAACATGGATGGATCTAGAGGGTATAATGCTAAGTGAAGTAAGTCAGAGAAAGACAAATACCATATGATTTCACTCATATATGGAATTTACAAAACAAATGAACAAAGAAAAAAGAGACAAACCAAAAAACAGACTCTTAAATAGAGAGAACAAACCATTGATTACCAGAGGGCAGGTATGTGGAGGGATGGGGTAAAGAGGTGAAGGGGCTAAGAGTTCACTAATCATCACGAGCACTGGGTGTTGTATGGAAGTGTTGAATCACTATACTGTATACTTGAAACTAACATAATACTGTATGTTATCTATACTTGAATTAAAATAAAAAGTAAAAAAATAAATTAAAAAATGATTACCTTACCTGGTTCAGGGTTGGAGGGTGTAGCCCAGGAAGAGTCATAGTAGCATTTTCACTACACTTCAGATAAAGGAAATACAAATACTGGAGAAATAGCTGGGTAGGAAGAAAAAAGACAATTTATCACCTTGATAGAAAAATGTTCTCTATATAAAGCTAACAAAGAGACTGAAGAATTTTAAGAAGCTACTGAATTTAATTATACATCAAATAAATATGCTAGACATCTGGGGACACAAAAATGAATAAAATGCAGTTTTTGCCATCAATGAGGAGTTCATCTGGTTTGGGAGGGGTGGCCAGGGAGCTTATTCTGTTTGTAAATAATAAGTAGAAGAGAAAAAATCTGTCTCTCAGCAATTTTTAGTTTCTACTTGAAAACAAAAAACACCCAAAACATGTATCTATATATGTATGTACATATGTATTTCAAAAGTAATCTCTATACCCAACATTGGGATCGAACTCACAACCCTGAGATCAAGCATCACATGTTCTACCAACTGGGCAGAGCCAGCTGGGCACTTGTTTTTAGCTTAGATGGATTACCTGGCCTTCAGGCTTGGCACTAGGAACATGCTAAGATCTGCCAAGCAAAAGTCACTTGTCTCCTAGGCACAATTTTTAAGCGTGGGGGCTGGGAAACCTCTTATTTACATGAAAGAACCTGAGAATCTTTCAAATGCCCTAAAGCTGGTTAGAGTTAAGCAGTAAAATTTAAACCACAAATAAGAGGCGCCTGGGTGGCTCAGTCAGTTAAGTGTGTGCCTTTGGCTCAGGTCATGATCCTGGTGTCAGAGGATCGAGCCCGCATCAAGCTCCCCGCACAACAGAGAGTCTGCTTCTCCCTTTGATCTCCCCCATCTGGTGCTCTCTCTCTCTTTCTCGTTCTCTCTCTCAAATAAATAAATAAAATCTTAAAAAAAAAAACAAATAAAATTCTATAGGATGTCTAAGAACACTTACAGTGACATGTTGTGCCGGGATGTCTTTCAAGTGAGGCAGAAGAAACATTTCGCTATAAGCTGAATGAAGAATTGCATTTCTACTTAGGACTAAAGGAAAACCTTGTTTCACTAAATAAAGGCTTTTCTACTGAAATTATGAGTAACTCCCTTCCCCAGTGATATCTCTTCTAAATTTATAGGAAGTTTTGCTCTTCTCAAAGAGCTCTATCACTGAACTTTCTCATAAATACTAGAGGTCACTTGGAATATTTCACCTGTGTTAACTGGTATTTATCCAGAATACTAATTTTTAGAAAAGATAAAACTTCTGCCTTCACAAAGCTTCTTAAATCAGGCTTAAGTAAGTTGTTTGCATATACTCCATTTTCCAGCAGAAACTGAAAAAGATGGAAAAACAGAAAAGCAAACATTTGAAATGATCTATTTATTCCCTAGGTACCGCGTGGCACTTGACTGTAGGTAAAGAGACGAGGCCGGGAAACTGTTTCAAAGGATACAGCAGAGCGGCTCTCTTTGGTATCACAGGGCACGAAGTGGTCTCCTCTGCTGCGGCCCGAGACTTTTCATTTAATTCCCGATCACAGTTATCACAGTTCTCTTCAGGACTGAAGCCATTGTGAAGAATTTCCGTTTGCTCTTCCATTTTCTCCTCTTGCACAGAATCACTATAGTCAGAAACTGATTCCATATTGATTTCTGCTTCTTGAAGACTGTCATCATTAATGCTACCATGTTAATTGAAAGTGAGAAATGAATCCTTATCACTGCATGATCTCACTGGAAAAATGTTCATTTTGTAAGCAAAGTTTCAGGAATCAAGTAATGTAAAAGATTAAAAATGCAGTAACGAAAAAGGACCATCAGCTTCTAACTTACCTCAAGAAAATTTTTAAGCAAGCACAGGTGACTGACTCAGGAATGTCAGGGAACTGTTGTAGACAGAGCTGTAACATCTGTACATCTGCTTTTTCTAGGGCAACCTCCATCAAGCCAGGGCACAGGCTAAGACAAAACACCGTGACTCATTTTTGTATCTTAAGAAAAATCTCAATATGTATAAGTTTTTTCATTTCAGAGTGTGAAAATTAGTAAAAAAACAAGGTCAAAAAAGTTATGCATATCAAATTTGGTATACAGAAACACTTACCTGTAAGAAAGCACATGTGTTTGGACAAGCTGCATCAGAGAGTTCCGGGGATAAAATGATGGTTCTGCTTTATGTCTTCCCAGAAGTTCTAATACTATGTCCCCAATAACAGTATGAAAGTCAGGTGTCTGCTTAATAGCCAAAAATTTACATAGTTCTACTTCAATGTGTTTTTCTGAATCTTTCTGAAAGGGCAGAAGTAACAGAGTTCAGTCTGGTACATTAATGTCACTCTGAACTTAAAAGTTCCTAGCTCAACCTTTTCTTAAATCATTAACAGTATTCATGCATTGCCGTGAAATTCGAGTTGATGCTACAATTCGCTGCACAAAGACAAGACTAAAACACAACACAAAACAAAACACAATGCCAGGGTTTAGAAATCAAATTCTTTAAGAGGCTAAGTTATAAATATATTCAATGCAAAGGGGAAAGATAGTGATGAGGCCACCACCACTACACTGACCTCGCAAAATACTTAGTAAGAGCCAAATAAGCCAAGTACTGGATAGCTCTGACAAGCTTAATACACTATACAACTGTGAGCTACAGACACAAAACGTGATCATAAAAATTAGAACGAAAAGTAGATGGGGGCGCCTGGGTGGCTTAGTTGGTTGGGCGACTGCCTTCGGCTCAGGTCATGATCCTGGAGTCCCGATTTCGAGTCCCGCATCGGGCTCCCTGCTCAGCAGGGAGTCTGCTTCTCCCTCTGACCCTCTTCCCTCTCGTGCTCTCTCTCATTCTCTCTCTCTCAAATAAATAAAATCTTTAAAAAAATTAAAAAAATTAAAAAAAAAAGAAAAGAAAAGTAGATGGGATTGCTTTTAACCACCTCAGTTGATTTTTCATATTTCTAATATTGTATTTACCTTTATAGTTGACAAAAGTTGTTTGGATGCTGGAGGCTGTACACTCACTTCAATTTTTCTTCTCCTTAACTGGAATTAAGTAAATTGATTAGGATCTCAAAGTGTCCTAAAGAAACTTATGCTCTCATCAAAAACATTTAAAAATATTTTAGGGCACCTGGGTGGCTCAGTCGGTTAAGTGGCTGCCTTCGGCTCAGGTCATGATCCCAGGGTCCTGGGATCAAGTCCCGCATCAGGCTCCCTGGTCAGCGGAGAGCCTGCTTCTCCCTCTCCCTCTGCCTGCTGCTCACCCTGCTTGTGCTCTCTATCTCTCTCTCTCTGTGTCAAATAAATAAATAATATCTTTAAAAAAAAATTTTTTTAATTTTGTTATAGTGAAAAGTGGGTTTATCTCAACTAACTTAAATACCTTTAAGACTTTTAACGTTTTTGTTTCTTAAACAGAAAATTTCTATACTCAGGAAGGCATCATTACTAATTGCAAACTGTCCATTTTCACACCTACGTCTTACACATACACATGCCCATAAAAATTAACTACTAGACTACACATGTCATTTCTAGATAAAAGATGTCAGGTTATTGGGTTCAAGATTCAAACTGCTCTGTCACTAAAGATCAAAACTATAGGGGCGCCTGGGTGGCTCAGTCCGTTGAGAGTCTGCCTTCAGCTCAGGTCATGATCTCAGGGTCCTGGGATCAAGTCCTGTCATCAGGCTCCCTGCTCAGTGGGGAGTCCGCTTCTCCCTCTCCCACTACCCCTCCCCCCAGTCGTGGGCATATGCGTGCTCTCTCTCTCTCAAATAAATCTTTTTAAAAAAAAGATCAGGGGCAGCAGTTCTTTCTGCTCATGGTCCGGTCCCTGTGCTTTAATAAACCATCCTTTTGAACCAACGATGTCTCAAGAATTCGTGGTTGTCTACTCCGGACCTCACCCCACCGAATTTCACCTATATTCCAAAACCCCATCAAGAAGAGCATCCCCTGGACTTAACACCACCCACTCCAGACTTCCCCACCAGTATCTCGCCACTTAGTGCCAGACTCCGTCCCTGCAATGACTTCACATCAACAGATGATTCTTAACCACCCACAGAGATACTTCCTGACTTCCTTTCAGGCTTAGATTCAGCTGCCTCCCCTTTTGTAACTCCCCTAAGTAGGGACATCTCTACGTCCCTCCCTATTCAGCGGGAGGACGTTACAGAAAATGAGACCTTCTGCCTTCAGCAACCTTAGATTTAAGGGTCAAAATTGCTCAGGGAGGAAATAATGAGGGAGCAGAGGGGCCAGCTGAAGACAAAGCATAATATGCACAACCTCTCCCACTCCACCCCACTCCCCCCTCTGGGTGGGACGTGTGTGACATTCTTCCAGAAATCTCCCAACTGTTTTAATGTTAATACCTTGCTGGGAGAGAAACAAGCTTGACAATGGCTCTGGTATCTTATATGTCAGTCCTCTTTAGCATAGGAAAGTTCTTTTGAAACCTCCCTTTTCCTTACTTGCCCCAACACAGGGACAGGACCCATGCTTTAATAAACCACCATTTTGCACCAAAAAAATTTAAATTAAATTAAATTACAAAAAGATCAAAGCTATAAGCATTGTAGAGATGCGAGTCATTAAGATAATTCCTTTTTTTTTTTTGCATATTTGCATTAACATTTCTATTTCAACTACCAAACTTACAATTCTCTTCGAATGCTCTGAGCTCTGAAGTCCATATCCCTGAGATGTTTCCCAGTTTACAAAATGAGGCACAGTCTGAGGGCCTAAGAAAACACAAAGTATACAATTTCTGGAATTTTTTGACCTACTGTATTTAGCCAACCAAAGAACAACAAAAAACAACCATTTAAGAGAGGCTTTAAAGATCACTGAATTCCCCTGAGAACCCCAGGTCAGTACGTCACAATACAGTTTAAGGCTATGTGCCCAGCAACACTAAGCCAACAGATGAGACCACTGGTAAACCCAGAAGGGTAAAAGTATTAATGATTTTGTCTGGGGGACTCTCCCATTGCCCCTGAAGTCAGAACACTGGTGTTTTAAACAGCGTAGCTCTTCAGCCTGCAGCAATACCTGCAATGGAGACTGTTCCACGGTAGATACCTGGGTCAAGGAAACTTCAATGAACAGTGTCAAATTTCAACATCAAAAACGGGCTCTGTAAACTGATGGTTTTAGAAATCTACATCAAACTGGAAGTTAATAAAATGGTTTATATTAATAAAAAACAGCAGGTCCTGGGGCACCTGGCTGGCTCAATCAGTACAGCATGCACCTCTTGATCTCAGGGGTCATGAATTCAGGCCCCACAATGGGTACAGAGGTTACTTAAAAAAGAAACAAAAAATAAAAACCACAAACAGAAGTTCCTACCTGGATCTTGACTATGCTTCAGTTTTCCAAGAGCACCTGCTAATGAAGATACTTCACACTTATATGGAACCACAGTAAGAAATTTTCCATGTAGCATAAATAAATTTTCCCCATAATACCAGAGCTACAAAAAAATGTTATAAAAAATGTAAGCAATTTTTTTTTTGCTTCTAAGATCTGAGTTGCATTTATAACAATAACTTACGGTATGAGCTATCTTAATATAACAAAAAATGACAAAACAAAGTTAAGCAACTTTCCAGAATAATCTCACATGTACAACTTGTTACCTGGGTAGGTTTACACAGCTCTTATTTTTGCCCACATCTGAATAAAGCATAATTTAAAGGACACTCTTTACTCATAAAAATCTGGTCAATATATGCATTTAAAATAATTAATTTATTTTTTTATTTTTAATTTTTTTTTAAAGATTTTATTGGGGCGCCTGGGTGGCTCAGTCGTTAAGCGTCTGCCTTCGGCTTGGGTCATGGTCCCAGGGTCTTGCTTCCTGCTCGGCGGGAGGCCTGCTTCTCCCTCTCCCACTCCCCCTGCTTGTGTTCCCTCTCTGTCAAGTAAATAAATAAAATCTTTAAAATATATATATATATACACACATATATATATATACACATAAAAGATTTTATTTATTTGACAGAGAGAGAGGGAATACAAGCAGGGGGAGTGGGAGAGGGAGAAGTAGACTCCCGGCTGCGCAAGGAGCCCAATGTGGGGCTCGATCCCAGGACCCTAGGATCACGACCCAAGCCGAAGGCAGACGCTTAACGAATGAGCCACCCAGGCGCCCCTAATTAAATTATTTAAAAGTAATACTGCCACTGTTATACATCTATTAATGTAACAATTACTAAGGGTACTGTAACAGGGCACTCTGTTAATGACGTACTAGATGAAAAAAGCAGAATTTAATGTTGTTTCTATCTTATCATTCCAATTTTTAAAATAGTAAAATATAAGACACATATATGAACAAAAAGCTTAAAGGAACATGGAAATCAAACAAGTCTGTTAGAGTGGTAGAACTGTGAACGGTTAATTTTGTTATTATTTGTTTAAATATAAATTAAAATTATATTGTATGCTGTGAAATCTAGTCTCCTTATGCTCTGATCACAATTATTTGTAATGTCGTATTATCCTGATTACATTATATTTATATATGAATATGCATTCACTAAACAACCAATCCTTACTGAGCACCTTTGATAGACAGACACTGAAGATAAAATGGGTGACAAAATACACAAGGACCCCTGCCTCAGGAAGTTTGGTCAGGTTGGCTAAAATTTTAACTCTTCAATAATTCTTATGTAAGAAGCGCCTGAGCGGCTCAGTTAAGCGACCAGCTCTTGATTTCGGCTCAGTCATGATCTCAGGGTCCTGGGATAGAGCCCCGTGGTGGGCTCTGCGCTCATCAGGGAGCCTACTTGAGATTCTCTCGCTCGTCTCCCTCTGCCTGTCCCCCTGCTCGTGCCTGCTCTCCCTCTCTTTCTCAAATAAATATTTAAAAAATTGTAATTCTTATGTAACTCCACGATAATGTTTACCATATAACCTAAAAGACTAATTTATTAGGAAAAGTAACAGCCCTGGCGTATGGTTCAAAATACAAAAGTAGGGGCTCCTGCCTGGCTTAGTCAGTAGAGCATGTGACTCCTGATCTAGAGGTTGTGAGTTCAAGCCCCACAGTGGATGGAGAGAATACTTAAAAAATAAAAATATTTATCAACAAATACAAAAGTAAAAAACATCAAACCAAAGAACAGCTATGTTTTATTTACTCATTGTTCTCCCTTGATCTAAAATTACCTACAACTGAAAAGTGACAGACTTAACAAAAACTGAAACAATAACCTTGCAGGTAAAAAATAATTCTCTATTTATTTTAATCAAAAACTGCCAAATTATTTAAATCTGAAGTCTCTTCCTTTATACTATATTTATCATGCACAAAAGTAACTAAATTTGAAAAGCCCCCAAAACAAAAACTTACTTGACCGCTAGTCCCCTGTGGTAGCTCTTTGGAAGTCTGTAGTGTTTGAAATTTTGTGTTCCATATGGAGAGGCATTCTATAAAATAAGACATACAAATTCAGATGTCGTGCCACATATAAATAAGTGACGCTGAGGGTGGTGGGGAAGGAAGTGGGGAGACTAGGGAGAGTCATAGTTAAACACATAAGTCTTGCTTTATTAGGTATAAAATGAGTAATATAGATAGTGATTGCCACAGAAACTCAAGGAAATGAGATCTTACGACAAGAAGTGGACACGTGTGGGGGGAGGGGGCATACGGGATATCTACATACCTTCCCCTCAATTTTGCTGTGAACCTTAAACTGCCCTAAAAAAATAAAGTGTTAATAATAACAATCATAATAAATTAGTAATAAATGTTGATATGGAAAGGGCTCTATGACCTCTCAGGTAAGTGAATAAATAAGGTGCACAAGTGTTAATGGTATGCTACCATTCATGTAAAAAGAAGAGGAAAGAAAAATAAGTAGTAGTATTTGCTTGTACACATGTGAAAACACTCTAGAAAGAAGCTCTAACAGTAGTTACCAGGCTTTGAGGGTTAGGGCAAGAACCAGAAAGCGGGATGACGGTGGGGAAGAGAGGAGCACAGCACGGTGAAGTGCCGACCCAGCACTGAAGGTCAGTAAGGTCTACGGCCTAAGTAAAGAGTCCTTCTACTTAGTTATCCAATACCTGTCTGCTTATTTGTAAAGCAGGAGTGTTATTAGTAACCTCTTTCTCTCCTAGTATTGTTGGAAGATTAAATGATACCAACAAGATAATATACATAAAATGCTTGGCCCAGTATAGCTATAAAAATGCTGTAACTAGAAGCTCCTATCTTAATAACAAGAGGGAGAAACGTAAGAACAAAGTACAGAGATGAGGACAGGCCGATTAAGTGTACAGCAGGGAGCCCGGGCTGAATAAATCAAAGGATTCGTGCTCTGAAATTGAGAAAAAGAGATTGGAAAAGGTGGATGGGGTCTAGACTGTAGAGAGCCCGAATACTAGACAAAAGATTCTGAATTTCATAGCGTTGCCTGAAAGACCCCAATCTCGCACTGGCCAGGAACAAATGTGTTCTTTGTGCCAGACAACAAGTGAGTGAGTGTGTGTGTGTGTGTGTGTGTGTGTGTGTGTGTGTAGGGGTATTTGGGGGGCAAGGTGAGGTGAAAATGAGAACGATGCTCTGAAGTCAGAGATGAAAAGGCATACTAGCAGTCCCTGAATTTCAAGTTGTCCAAGTCCAGTGGATTTCCATTCTGCTGAAGTGTCACCAAGCTATCCCTACCACAAGGCTTACCAATGATCAAATGCCTATGGGCTGGCACAGACATTGGCAGTTTTTATTCCTTTAAGACATTAGTCATGAGCAAGGTAGTGATACAAGGAAATGTTTTAAAAAGATGGGACACCTGGCTGGCTCAGTCAGTAGAGCATGTGACTCCTGATCTCAGGGTTGTGAGTTTGAGTGTTGGGTGTAGAGAGAAGTAAAAATAAATAAATAAATAAATAAATAAAATAATTTAAAAAATATTAACGAATTTAAGATGAAATCACAGACCTATTCAAGGAGAGTTAGGAAGCTACAAAAATAATTTGAGTATGACACTAGAGAAAATGAATAAGTGATAATAAATAAAAAAGAAAAAGACTAAAAGGTACACTTTGAAGGAAAAATCCAAAGGACTTCTTAAGTGATCAGATTTCAGTCACCCTTGGAAGCTGGTAGCGGTGGTCCTAGGACCGCTAGGTGATCTTGATCCAGGACGGTGAGTGCAACACCATTTCGAGCATTACCAGACACCACGGTCTTGAGCAACAGTGACCTAACCACCCTCTGATTTTTTTCTGGGTCACTTGGATGTATTGGTATCAAGGTTTCATATATACACCCATCAGAGCCTGTTGGAAACAAGTATTTGTTATTCATTATCAGTTGAAGGACAGTTCTATATCTGTTATAGTTAAAGATACTAGGTTGTTTATAAGTTGTACCAATTTGATACAGGATACACCCAGAAAAATAAACAAATTTAACAATCACATCGCTCTATGCTTTCCCTTAAATGGTACTACAAATCTAAAGTTGAGGGAGGAATATTAATAAAACTCTCAGTAAGAAATGTCACAACAGCAAAATACTTATAATAACTTAAAATATGAGAAGGAACTGCAGGAAGACAATATAGTCACTAAAAGGATATACCTCACACTCAAAATTAATTAGCCTTCTGGTCTATACATGACATTTCTCGTTAATATATCACCTTGAAAACCATATGAAATTACTGTTTTTTTGGCACATCACCCTGAAAACCATACGAAATTACTGTTTTTTGTCATGTCAATTGAATTTTGGCATGTTACTGTGGTTCTAGCTATGTTACAGGAAGATTTTACGACCCTTTGATTCAGACTCCCTTATTTCAGTGTTCATTCAGTAAGCTAAAAACTTAACTCGTAAACTTTCATTTAACAATAAGTATATCTGGGGCACCTGGCTGGCTCAGTCGGTAGAGTATGCAACTCTTAATCTCAGGGTTGGGAGTTCAAGCCCCATGCTGGGCATGAAGCCTACTTAAAAAACCAAACTAAACCAAATCAATCCAAACCTCTAAGTATATCTTACAGATTAAACGATAAGAAAACCAGTCCCTCTTAAACAAAGGCATTAAGTGGATTCCAAAGACCTTCTAGATAAATGATGGGAACTTTTTCTCAATAGCCATTGCAAACATCTGCACATTAAAAACCTTCACAGATTTTTTAATTGGGGTGAGAGGAAAGGATAATTGGGTGATGGGCATTAGAGAGGGCACCTGATGTAATGAGCACTGGGTGTTATATGCAACTGATGAATCACTAAATTCTACCTCTGAAATTAATAAAAAAAAAGATAATAAAAAGATTTTTAAATTGTGATAATATGGAAATAATGTCCTTGTTTTTTCCTCCCTTAATTCTCTCAAGACAACTCCAAGAGGGGCCATAAAGGGCAGGATGAAGAGGACACCACAAGGCATTTTCCTTTTTCCTAGTCACCTAAGATCAGGGTTATACTTTAAACCATTAGATAGAGGTAACCTACAAGGCATCAATAAATCTATAAAATGCTGGCTGGCATAGGCCATGAATGCTTTGTTAGATCCCTTTAACTCACCTGCCTCCACCACTGTTCAAAGAAGGGTACCCTAAATCTTAAGGCTAGAAAAGAGAATTAGAGGAGTCAATACCAACCTTAGTTTATTATTTATTTTAAAAGATTTTATTTATTTGAGAGAGAGCACACGTGTGTGAGCACAACTGGGGAGAGTGGCAGGCAGAAGGAGAGGCAGAAACAGGTTCCCCACTGAGCAGAGAGCCCAATGAGGGGTTCGATTCCAGGACCCCAGGATCATGAATCCACTTAATGCCAGGAGCCGAAGGCAGATGCTTAACGGAGTGAGCCACCCAGGCGCCCCTTATTTTATGTTTCACTAATTACAGTATCAAAGAACCTGGCCTTATAATGATAAAGATAAAAGATTATTTTTCCCTTTTTTATTGGTATTATATTATTATTTACTGCTTAGGATAAATCTTTTTTTTTTTAACAGATTTTATTTATTTGAGAGAGAGCAAGCACAAGCAGGAGAGGCAGAGGGAGAGAGAAACGGAGAAGCAGGCTCTCTGCTGAGCAGGGAGCCTGATGTGGGGCTCAATCCAGGACCTCAGGATCATGACCTGAGCTGAAGGCAGATGCTTAATGGACTGAGCCACCCAGGCACCCCTTATTTCTGGTGTAACTTTTACTGCTTAACTCTAACCAGATAAATTTTTTTTTTAAGATTTTATTTATTTGACAGAGAGAGAGCACAAGCAGGGGGAGCGGCAGGCAGAGGGAGAGTTCTGGAGAAGCAGGCTCCCTACTCAGCAGGGAGCCCGAAGCGGGGCTCGATCCCAGGACCCTGGGATCATGACCTGAGCCGAAGGCAGATGCTTAACTGACTGAGCCACCCAGGCGCCCTCTAACCAGATAAATCTTAAGACATAAAAGCTACCTACAGAGAATCACTGACTTAATGCATGACCAGATATGGCAAAGTGCAAAAAATGAAGGCACAAATGCTTCTAAGAAAGCATGTGAAGGAAAAGTGCTACAATAGAAAACTGCAAAAAACCTAAGACTCTTAACTCAGAAAACCCACCATCCTTTATTTATGATCTCTGAAGGTTTAAAGAAAAATACTTACTTAATGACATCAAAGAGATGAATTTCTGGTCCACAGATGCACTGAAACTCTGTATAACAGATTTTTCTTCTTGTCCAAGTAAGAGCGTGTATTTGCTTAAGGTACGTGAGTTAAACATTTGTATGTAAGCAAAGTAATTTCCGTGCTGCACATAAAAAGGTTATTTTATTTAAAAATATTCCCATTTCAACCAACTATATTTAAATGTTAAAGCCACTTGTTGCTCTCTTCTAATTACTTTAATGAGTGCTTAAAAACCTCTTGTCCAATTAAAGTAAAAATGTTCTAAAAAATATTTCTTTGTAACTAGCAGATTTTTTAGTATTTAAAAAAGATACACAATAAAAAAAAAATCTTCCGAGAGAAATACTAAAGCCCAATTTTAGTTTAAAAATAATATATGTGAGTTGGAAATGTCACAAAATAGCCCAGGAATGAAAGCTATCACTTACTTTTTCAGTAATAAAGATTAAAACAGGATGCCTAAATACCATGAAAATCTTTGTCCACCTAAAAAAATAGGAAGAAAAATTATAAAATGCCAAATCACGAGCTGAGAGAAACTTATCAATCTAAATTTCAGAGAATATTTTCTATTAAATATTTTTTAAAGTCAAAGAGATGTCATGGAACTTAATTCAGTGCTTCAAAATACACATCACCGAGAATTAGTAAGCATTTCTCTGTCAAATGCATTTGTGGACTAACTGCAAGTTGCTGAACTTCCCAGAGCTTTGAAGACCATGTGAATCGTAAAGTTCCAAAGGGGTGGGTGTGTGACAGTATGCAGTGTTATTCAACTTATTTGATCCCTCCCTTCCCCTTTTTCAGTCACTTTTGGGACTAGTGCTCTGAGGAAAACATTAGGATCTCACCCACCTTCTTTAAGTGACAGAGGGATATGAGGTACAGGGAGGGTAAAGGGCTTGTAACCAAGGCTACATAGCCAGATTCTGGCAAAGTGGCCAAGAACTCAGGTCATCTACCTGTATCCCATTTTCCTAAAGATTTCCTCCAAACACAGTTGCTCACACATTAGAGGCCTTCAACAGGGCAGTCCAAGATACACCTGTTCATTGTCTACATTGTTCACTAAGTACAAGCCTTCCCTTTGACTTTTAGAAATTTAGCTTGCATCAAGTGGGCCAGGAGAGGAAGCAAGTTAACTAAACAGGAAATGTGATAAAATAATGCGGACTGGAGAAATGTGAAATCATGAAAATTTGAGTCATTTTCCCAGTTTTATTCTAGAATCTGGGAAAGCAGGGTGCTCAAAACACTATCATGATGTCACTAACAACAAACTGTACTTGTTCTCAGGGGTAAGGGTTCTGACCTTGGCAGTCAGGGCAATATAAGAGAAACAGAGATTTTGGTCTCATGGCATTCCCACTTCATCTTCAAATAACTTACTATCCAGTCTTCTGTCATCAAAACAGGACTCATATGACCCTACAGTTTCCCCAGTCACCTACTATTCTAGAGGTTTTTGGAGGATGCTAATTTGGTCAATGGCATATAAATGGTTTTTAATTAAGCTTTTATTAGGTTTACAACCAAAATACTTTTGAACAAGGGAAAGAATGTTATAAAAAACAGGCACAGTACATTTTTATTATGGAAAAAATTCACTTACAAGTATTGGAACTTACTTAATCACTTCTTCATCAGAGATAACAGTTTCAATTTTCTGCTGGGGCTCTGCAAGCAAGGCCTCTAAACCACGAACAGCACCTTTCTTGAAGAGTACTAAAGGTTCTGTCCCTTGTATTGAATGTATCCTATTTATCTCAGCTGACAACTAGAAGAACATAAGAATACAATGTTTTTAAAACATTCTAAAACAGTTGCTACCTAAGAGAATAAGGACATTTACAGAAAGCTTATTTTTTAAGAACTGATTTGTTTTCATTTTGATTCAGCTTTATATGGTTCCAAGGTCAAATGTACAACATAAAATATATACAGAAGCCTTTTGCTCCTATTCTGCCTACCCTATCCCTGGCTCTCCCCTTAAGTCATCACTTTTTAAAGATTTTATTTATTTTTTATTTAGAGAGAGCATGGGTGAGCAGGGGGAAGGGCAGAGGGAGAGAAATCTCAAGCAGGCTCCGTACTGAGTGCAGAGCCCAACGTGGGGCTTGTTCCCATGACCCTGAGATCATGACATGAGCCTAAATCAAGAGTCAGACACTTAACTGACTGAGCAACCCTTAAAGTCATCATTTGTATGCATTTTTGGTTTATCCTTCCACTGTGAGTGCTGGAGGTTAGGTACCACCTGGATCTCCAAAACCTGAGGTGGGGAGAAGTATAAACGAAACCACTACTGAGGTTTTAAGCAGTTCTGGTGCTAGATAAAGACTGATGCCGTAATTACAACTACAGCCTGTAAGCCCAAGAAAAGAAGTTAACCCCACTGTAAAATTAAGGATCGTGTTACTGCAAGGTAAACAAAAAGACTAGGGCCAGGAGACGGCACAGTAAGCTAGATGGAAGTTTCAAGGGTCCAAGTGATAACTGCCATTGTATCTCAATCAGTTCCATTATGTGCCACTTCTAAAATTTGCCAATTATATTTACTTAGACATTTAGAACTGGAAGGGACTTTCAAGGTTACCCTAGTTTGAGACCCTCATTTTATAAGTAAGAAAAGTTAATTAACACACTTTAGATGAGGGGTGCCCGGGTGGCTCAGTCTGTTAAGCTTATGACTCTTGATTTTGGCTAGGGTCATGATCTCAGGGTTGTGAGATCGAGTCCCTCGTCCGGCTCTGTGCTCAGAGGGGAGTCTACTTGAGATTCTCTCACTCCCTCTCCCTTGCAACCCCCCCCCACCACTTGTGCATGCTCTCTCTCTCAAATAAATAAATCGTTAAAAACACACATACACCTGGGGCGCCTGGGTGGCTCAGTTGGTTAAGCAACTGCCTTCAGCTCAGGTCATGATCTCGGGGTCCTGGGATCGAGCCCTGCATTGGGCTCCCTGCTCGGTAGGAAGCCTGCTTCTCCCTCTGACCCTCCCCCTGCTTGTGTTCCCTCTCTCGCTGTCTCTCTCTGTCAATTAAATAAATAAATAAAATCTTTTAAAAAACACACACACACACTTTAGGTCATCAGTAGAAAAGGCACAGTTACTCAAGGTTCTTTCTTACTGCATTCTGTGCACTCTAAAAATATATAATGTATAAAATTGGCAGGGTCTGTTCTACTTATTTTAAGAAAGGGCACAGTGGAGTCGTTAAGCGTCTGCCTTCGGCTCAGGTCATGATCCCAGAGTCCTGGGATCAAGCCCTGCATCGGGCTCCCTGCTCCGCGGGAAGCCTGCTTCTCCCTCTCCCACTCCCCCTGCTTGTGTTCCCTCTCTCGCTGTCTCTCTGTCAAATAAATAAATAAAATCTTTAAAAAAAAAAAAAAAAGAAAGGGCACAGTGAAGTTCTCACATGGGACGCACCATAAACATCTAAACTCATGGAAAAAACTGCAAACGTATCATTCAGGAATTATTTAAATCCTTAATCTCATGTAATAATAAAGTTTCTATTTTCTAACGTATTAACTCATGAACTAAGATGTGTTCCAAGATATGAATGAAAAGCTGATATAACTTTTATGGTCACTTTCACAGATGTATTTAAGATAAGCAAAATACTACATTACAAATTATTCCATCTCACCAATAAGCTAATAGACACATTAGAAAATCCAAAGACTAATGTATGAGCCTCGGTGGCTCAGTCAGTTAAGCGTCTGCCTTTGGCTCAGGTCATGATCCTGGGGTCCTTGGATCGAGCCCCACATCAGACTCCCTGCTCGGCCAGGAGCCTGCTTCTCCCTCTCCGAGCTTGTGCTCTCTCTCTCTCAAATAAATAAAAATCTTTAAAAAAAAAAAAAGAAAAGAAAAATCCAAAGACTTACTGTAGCTTTAAACACTTTATCCAGGTTTACATCTTCATTACTCCATATTCTCAAAACCTTAAATCAACACACACAAGTTAAAAAAGCATTCCAATTTCTACTTATATCTAACACAAATAGTTAATAAATCAACATTTGATTTCTGTTGTATATATTATTATATAAAAAGTTTTAAAACTCACCTTATTATCATGTACAACAATATACTCTCCAGTTTGAAAGTTGCACACAGCTGGACATGTTATAATTTGACCTTGTTTCACTGACCAGCTTCCCAAGGGTTTCTGATCAGAAACCTAGTAAAATCAAGATAACATAAAATATTCAAAAAGTCAATTTCAGACATTACAAGCAATTAAATTTACAATCAAGACAAAGAAAGAATTAAAATAATAACATTTAGGGGTGCCTGGGTGGCTCAGTCGTTAAGTATCTGCCTTCTGCTCAGGTCATGATCCCAGGGTCCTGGAATCGAGCCCCGCATCGGGCTCCCTGCTCCACAGGAGACCTGCTTCTCCCTCTCCCTCTGCCCCCGCTTGTGTTCCCTCTCTCGCTCTCTCTCTCTCTGTCAAATAAATAAATTAAATCTTTAAAAAAAAAATAATTTAATAAATTTCCTAAATGAAAAAAGTAAGTAGTCACAAAAAGACAAACACTATATGATTCCACTAAAGACAGAAAGTAGAATGGTGGTTGTCAGGGGCTGGGGAAATGGGCAGTTATTGCTTAATGGTACAGGGTTTCAGTTTTGCAAGATGAAAGGAGTTTCGGAGATGGATGGTGGTGATGGCTGCACAACGTAAACATACTTAATACCCTGTACGGTACACTTAAAAAATAGTTAACATAGTAAATTGTATGTTGTGTGTATTTTACTACAATTAGAAATATAAAAAACTTGGGGTGCCTGGGTGGCCCGACTGATTTAAGTGTCTGCCTTTGGCTGGGGTCATGATCTCGGGGTTCTGGGATGAGCCCCCCTTCGGGCTCCCTGCTCAGCAGGAGTCTGCTTCTCCCTCTCTCTAATAAATAAATCTTTAAAAAAATGTAAAAAAACTTTTAAAAATTAATTAAAATGAAAATATAACTGGACGCCTGGGTGGCTCAATGGTCCCGGGGTCCTGGGATGGAGTCCCACATCGGGCTCCCCGGGGTTCCCCCTGCTCTGCGGGGAGCCTGCATCTCCCTGTCCCTCTGCCTGCCACTCCCCCTGCCTGTGCTCTCTCTCTCTGTCAAATAAAATCTTAAAAAAAAGAAGAAAGAAAGAAAAGAAAATATAACTAAGTTACTAAAAGTAAATTAGCAACACTTTTCAGTAAATAGTACACATAAAAGAATGGGATTCCACTGTGCTTTGGAACAGGGGCATGGGAAATTGAGTAGGTATAGCTGGGATCATGCCAATTCCAGTCACTGTATTTTTATGCAGGAATTGCAAAACTTTAAGTCCACTTAAGAGTGGAGGTAAAAACCAACAGTGTCATCAGAAAGACTCAAGACCAGCAAACACCTCAGGGAATGTTGGCAACCTGTTCCAAAACTTCGAAGTAGATAGCTAGTTTCTTAAAGACACGGGAAATTATGTTCAGCAGTCCAGATAAAAATAATTACTTTCCATGAGACCACTAAAAGCTAAACTGTTTAGAAGGAGTGGTGAGTCAATAGTTTGGATAAAAAGGGGGCGGGACCTTAGAGCCGGCCCAAGACAACTCCAGGATTTACGGCGTGTAGTCAGTTGGCAATAGCTCACTCGGAATCAAGATTCCCATCAAGCTACTAAGAACTCAAAACAAAACAATCCGCAAAACTTTTTTCCCCAAAGAGGGGGGAAAAAGTGTATGGGCACAAAGTTAAACCAATGTTCCCACGCTGCCGGTCATTCTCTCCTGCCCTATCTCTGTTCAATCCTTCTGCGGACAGCTGGGGTAACAGAAACCCCGGGAGGGGATCTTAAGGCCTTAGATAAACTCCGGGAGATACGAAGCGAAAGCACAGGTTTTCCTTTCCTTTCTGGGTCTAGCCCACGTGCACTCACACGCTCTGCCACCGGCAAGTCGGAAATATGCCTCTCTCTCCAGAAAAACAACCGAGTTCTATTCTAGACCTCATTCAGCGCCCGGGAGAGGCCAATAAGCCGCTCGACGATCTTTCTGAAGCTGTGAGAAACCTGCAGCTCTGGCTCCGTGCTCAGAAAGGGGCGAGACCTCAGCGGGGCGCTCTCCGATCATATCACCCTCACCTTATAGAGGATGACGGTCCTGCCGCCGTCCGTCACTAGAAACTGGTCTGTTTTGTCGCTCTGCTCCACGCCTAGGAGTCCGTGAGGCCCGGCACCCAAGGGTACCCCAGACAACGTGAAACCCTCTTCCAAAGCTGCCATTTTGGGCAAACCTACGGACTGCAGCGCATCCCTCCCGGCAGGCTTTGCGCTTTCTCTCGCGAGAACTAGGAACCCGCCTGGACAGACACTCGTCAAATAAGAAACCTGTTTGCCGAGCCGGCGACCTCTGGCGGGCGCGTCTGGCGTGCCTGGCTGTGGGCGCCGCCGGGTGGGCGGAGCCGGGACGTTGCTTGTAGACTCCGCCTCCCAGTCACGCCCCTCAGAGTCCCGGATGTACTCCTCCGGAGAAGGGGTGGCAGGCTGGGGATCTCTTACCTGTTATGCACAGGCGCTACAGCTGCGGCGCACTTCTCAGCTAAGGATTTGAGAGGCTGAAGGGTGGGCGTGGCAGCTAGGCAAACAAAAATAAGCTCCTTTTTCTTTTGTTTTTTTTGTTTTGTTTTCTTACTTTAAGTGAACTCTTTGGGAATTCTTACCACGGCCTCAAGAAACAGTGTGCTAAAGAAAATAAATGTACCTCCTTAGGTAAACTCTTGATAAAGTGCTGTACCTAAGTGAAATGCCTAATCCCCCTGCTTCTCAGAACCTTCCCGAGACGTCTCGGCCCTCCCATCTTGTCTCAGTCTTCTTTTGTTCTCTGAGCCTAAGGACAAAGTGCTTTCCAGCTAATGAGAACTTGCCAGGTGGAAGGTGAAGTCGAAGGGTCGGTCCCCTCAGGCAATTTGTAACAAGACATCATTTCTGGGAGAGAGTTCTAATGTAAACGTGATTGATTTAACTAGTAATGTAAAAACTCAAAAAGATAAGTAGTTCATGTTCTTAGGGAGAAACCATCTAAGTAAGCAATTACTAAAGAAACCTGTACTGTACTGTGTTGACATCACATGGCAAAATTTAAAAGTAAGCATCCACACAGATCGGATCCCCTTGTGTGCGGCAGTTCTTCATGGCTACAACACTACAATACTGGAAAAAAGAATATTTAACTATTGAAAAGAAATCAAATACCATAAATTCTTTTTTTTTTTTTTAAAGTAGGCTCCACACCCAGCCTGAAGGCCAACACTGGGCTTGCACTCACAACCCTGAGATCAAGACCTGGGCTGAAGAGTCAGACACTTAACTGACTGGGTCACCCAGGTGTCCCAAATACTATACATTCTTCATCGGGCTAACAGACCTTTTATTTTTCAAAGTTGCCAAAGAATTTTTTTTCTTTTTTTTAAATAATTTTTATTGTTATGTTAATCACCATACATTACATCATTAGTTTTTGATGTAGTGTTCCATGATTCATTGTTTGTGCATAATCAAAGTTGCCAAAGAATTTGACTATGAATTTATGGCCCCTTTGTTGGTTAGAAAAGAAAACTGTGAGATTCAGTCCATCTTGGCCTTTGTGTGACCTTCCTTTTCCTCCCAGGACAATTAATCAGCCTCTCTACTGAAAACTGTTTGGTACATACTGCCCGAGGTTTGATCCCAGGCTAGACATTTCCTCCTCCTCCAGGAAGTCTTCCCCCAACTCTCTGGGACTGGATTAAATGATTCAGTGCACCAATGTTATTGTAACATGTGTTATCCAGTACTGGGATGGCCTAGTTACTCATATATCTGTCCCATTGTGTTTTATTTCTTTGAAGGAACTCTGGATTTATCACTAGTATCTGGCATAAGTCCTGTCCCATAAATATTTGTGGGACCAATGGATAAACAGTAAAAGCTTATTCATAATTTTGAATTTGTGCTTTCCCTTTCCTTCAGCTTAAAGACTTTATTCTTTTTTTTTTTTTAAGATTTTATTTATTTATTTGACACAGAGAGACACAGCGAGAGAGGGAACACAAGCAGGGGGAGAGGGAGAGGGAGAAGCAGGCTTCCTGCAGAGCAGGGAGCCCGATGCGGGGCTCAATACCAGGACTCTGGGATCATGACCTAAGCCGAAGGCAGATGCCTAACGACTGAGCCACCCAGGCGCCCAAGACTTTATTTATTCTTATTTTTTAATGATTTTTTTAGATTTTTTTTTTTATTTGAGAGGGAGCACAAGTCGGGGAAAGGGGTAGAGGGAGAGGGAGAAGCAGACCCCTCACTGAGCAGGGAGCCCCACGTGAGGCTCGATCCTAGGACCCCCGAGATCATAACCTGAACCAAAGGCAGATGCTCAACCAGCTGAGCCACCCAGGCACCCCTAATTTTTTTTTTAATTTTTATTTATTTATTTATTTTAGAGAGAGATCGAGAGCACAAGCAGGGGGAGTGGTAGTGGGAGAGGCAGACTCCTCACTGAACAGGGAATCTGCTTGAGATTCTCTCTCTTCCTCTTCCTCTACCCAGCCCCCACTAAAATAAATAAATAAACCTGAAAGAAAGAAAGAGAGAAAGAAAGAAAGAAAGAGAAAGAAAAGAAGGAAGGAAGGAAGAAAAAGAAAGAAAGAAAGAAAGAAGAGAAAGAAAAAGAAAGAGGGACGCCTGGGTGGCTCAGTTGGTTAAGCGTCTGCCTTCGGCTCAGGTCATGATCCCAGGGTCCTGGGATCGAGTTCCGCGTCTGCCTGCCACTCCCACTGCTTGTGCTCTTTCTCTTTCTCTCTCTCTCTCTGACAAATAAATAAATAAAATCTTAAAAAAAAAAAAGAGAAATAAGTGGATTCTCCCATCTGCTTTGCATTCAATCCATTGTGGTATCACATGTCCTGTAGCTTCTGTAGAGCTCCAGAGTGCACCAAAAGGGGAAAATAACATCTAACATATTTGTCTTCCTGGAATCTCTAAAAGGCCCTCAAGACTCCGAGAGTTTGAGAGCTACTATACCTATAGAAAACAAGGTTACCTGTCTTGAAGGTCAAAACTCCATGGCTCAGAAAAGAGGATGGAGCAACTTTTCCCTAGTTCTAGAATCTGGATTAAGTGTAAAGCCCCTGAGAGAGTCAAAATAGGAAGAAAAAGTAGGAGGGCTTCCACCTCAGAAGTGAAGTCTGAGCCCCCAACCCTCCTTATGCCCGGGAGAACTTAGGACCTGGAAAAGCATAGCTGCACTAAGAATGTAACTGAAATTCTCATAGATGATAAGAAGTGGAATGACTTCTGTTATTTTTAGTCCTAGAAAAGATTATGGGACTAGAGATAGATTTTATTTTATGTTTTTAAAAGATTTTATTTATTTATTTATTTGACAGAGATAGAGAGAGAGCACAAGGAGGCAGAGGGGCAGGCAGAGGGAGAGGGAGAAGCAGGCTTCTGAGCAAGGAGCCTGAGGCAGGACTCAATTCCAGGACCCTGGGATCATGACCTGAGCTGAAGACAGATGCATAACCAACTGAGCCACCCAGGTGCCCCTAGAGATAGATTTTAAATTTTCTTTCTGTTCTTTCTTTTGATAGGTGTTATGGGCTCAACTGTCCCCCAACCCCAACCAAATTAGTATGTTGAAGACCTAGTCTCCAGTTCCTTAGAGTGTGACTATATTTGGAGAGAGGTCATTAAGGTAAAATTAGGTCATTAGGGTGGGCCCTGATCCAATATGACTGGTTTTATTATAAGAAGAGGAGATTTAAAAGAAGAAGGAGGAGGGGTCAGGGGAGGTGGAGGAGGAGAAAAAGAGATTACGACACAGACCCACAAAGAATAGATCATGTGAAGACATGCGAAGAAGATGGTCATCTAGGGCATCTGGGCGGCTCAGTTGGTTAAGCGACTGCTTCGGCTCAGGTCATGATCCCAGGGTCCTGGGATCGAGTGCCGCATCGGGCTCCCCTTGCTCTGTGGGGAGCCTGCTTCACCCTCTGCCTCTGCCTGCCCCTCCCCCTGCTTGTGCTCTCTCTCTCTCTCTCTCTGTGTCAAATAAATAAATAAAATCTTAAAAAAAAAAAAAAGCTGGTCATCTATAAGCCAAGGAGAGAGGCCAGAAGAAACCAACCCTGATGACACCTTGATCTCAGATTTCTAGGCTCCTTTGTGAGAAGATAAATTTCTGTTGTTTAAATCACCCACTTTGTAGTACTTTGTTATGGCAGCCCTGGTAAATGAATACAATAGGTTACATGTTCACAGAATTAAAGGGTATACAGTGTAAAAACTCTCCCATCCCTATCTCCAGCTCTCTTGTTCTCCTTCCCAGAGATGATCAATGTTAACAACTCTTATGTGCCGTTTCAGATAGATTTTCTACATATACAAGTCATATATGTGCACGTTTTCTCCTCCCACTTTTACACAAATGATGGCATAGTGTTTCCAGTGTTCTGCCCTTTGCTTTTGTCACCTAAATAGTATGTCTTGTAGCTCACTCCCTATCAGTGTACAAAGAACTTTCTCATTCTTTTTTACTCTTCCATAACTGGTAATAGATTTTTTTATAGTTTTGGGATTTCATGAAATATGCAGCCATCTATAGAATAGATATTGATAACATTCTATTTCTTAGGTTGGGTGGTAGGCTCAGGAATATGTGTTTTATTACACACATGTTAATGCTTCATAACAAATTATTATAAGTGGCAAGGAGGAAAAAAAAAAGCTCAGAAGGGGGAAATGAAAAGGGAGGAAGGAAACAGATGATATGTATGTGTATGTGAAATTTTAGTAAGGATGGGACCATAGAAAGCCTTTCTGAGAGGATGTCTTTTTTTTTTTTTTAAGATTTTATTTACTTATTTGAGAGAGAGAGAGAGAATGAGAGATAGAAAGCACGAGAGGGAAAGAGGGTCAGAGGGAGAAGCAGACTCCCTGCTGAGCAGGGAGCCCGATGTGGGACTTGATCCTGGGACTCCAGGATCATGACCTGAGCCGAAGGCAGTTGCTTAACCAACTGAGCCACCCAGCCACCCTGGGAAAAAATTTTAAATAAAAAATTTTAAAAAAGAGTTTGGGGTGCCTGGGTAGCTCAGTTGGTTAAGTGTCTGACTCTTGATTTTTGCTCAGGTTGTGATCTCAGGGTCATGAGTTTGAGCCCCGTGTCTGGTTCTGTGCTGAGCATGAAGCCTGCTTAAGATTCTCTCTCTCCCTCTGCTCCTCCCCTGGCTCTCTAAAAAATAAATAAATAAATAAAAA